TTACGATCGGTTCGGTTAGGAAAAAAGGCAACCGAATCCCACCTCTGAAAGAGACTAATGAAAATCTATAAGAATGTTTTCCTCATATGCTTTTCTTCATAAATTATTACAATTTGACTAAATTTTTTTTTATCAGTGAGACAATCGAATTACAAAATGGTAAGTATCATGAATCTTCGAATATTCTAACAATTTTCAAACTATAATTATTTAAGAACAATATATCATTTTTGAATGAAAAATTTTGTGATTCGATTTTTTTTCACAAATACTTTTCCACATATATATTAAAAAAAAACAAAATTAAAACTGTAATAGCTTATGAAAAACAAGCATATTAGGACAAGTCCTCAAAAATTTCTACTAGCCTCATTAGGATGTACGTATTGATAAAATATCTTTTTGATTAAGCAATCATACCAGAAGATGTTTCACGTTGTACGAATAATTAATATCAATATAATACGCCTGATTTCACCGAAGTCCATATGAATTAAATAATTTATCAATATGTAACTACTAGATATAATTTAAGCTTATGATATGAAGTAAATATTTACTCATCTATTAAATAAAAAAAAAACATCACAAGAGCATAATGTAATAGTATTCATCAAATAAAAAGATAAGCGTGAGAAAAAATGCCAGTAGTAGGCGCAAGTTACAAAAAATGAAGTAAACACCACTTAAAAATAAAATAATGATTTGCAACAGGATATCATATATAATCCTCTATACACTTTGACGCAATTTTTAATAAATAATTTCATCTTCAAAGAAAAAAAAAACCATAAAGTATATCATTGATTAACCAATAAAAGTACTTATTAAATCTATGAGTGAAAAAAACAACAACAGACGAATATAAAATAAATATACGTTCTATTTAATCACATAATAAAAAAAATCATGACATATGAAGTATATAAACAAAATATGTTGAGCTCATTTTGATTTATCGCTAATTTAGACGCGCCTGAAGTGTCAAAAGCGTCTATGACATCGAACTTTTCCAACACACTTCAGCTGATTTACGAACTACCAATTCTAGAAATCATGATATTATATTTCGATATGTATCAAGAAAATACTTTTGATCAAATAATTTTTATACATCTTCTCATCAATTTTTTATTTCGAAATCTTAATAAAATCTAGAAAAAAAAGAATCATATAAAGTAAAAAACTGAAATAAATAAACTATGTATGTTTTTTTATGTTCAGAAAATTCAAAATTTGTCAAAAAAAAAAACAATACTTACCATTTCTAAAAAACACCATTAAAATATTAATGATATAACTCTAGTAAATCATTATAAAACACTACTCATATGTTGTTGCTATTCGTAGGAATATTGTACGGGGCTCCGATTCGTCCTATAATTCCTATTTTTTTGAAAAATCCTATATTTCGATTGATTTTCCTATATTTTGTCAAAAAAAAGTGGAAAAATTTTACGAGATTTGACTTTGTCCTGAGGGGAAGTACGGGGATCTTCGCGGCGCTCCCCGCTCTCCCCGGTCATCACTTTTTACGCAAAAACCAGGTAATGTGAATAGCTGTTTCTTGCAAGTAAAGCACATACATTTGAGGTGCAATTCAACGTACAATATCTAAATTTTGGTCACTTTTTTACTTTTTTTTAGTGAAAATAATCGTATAATTCAGAAAACGAAATCCTATATAGGAATTCCTATAATTTCGAAAATTTGTAATCGAAAGCCAGATATTGTATAATAATACGATTAAAAATAGCCATCTCCTACTCAATCATTTGAAGCTAAAACACATAATATTACATAGATATGTACACTAAGAAAATCAAATTATTTTTATCTTAAGCCATTATGTTTTGCTCGATTGTCTAAAAAAGTATTATTTAGAAACATTTTTTATGAGTTCTGTTTTTGTGGTTGGTTGGCTGATCACATTTTCAGTTACAATAATGAATAAGACGTATCTATATCTATTGCATCAAAGCATCTAAAAAAACGAAATAAGACAATTCAGTATCTATCACATCAAGCATTTAAAAATAAAATTCTTCTCGCGTCTAACTCATGAGACTATAAACAGATGAATCGTCTTGTAAGACGGTTGATATTTTTTATAGTGGGAAATCGTCAATAGATATTCATCAAGCACAGGTGAAAGTAAGATGTCTTCTGTAAAGTTTGATTTAGCGTTCGTTAGATAAAACAAATTGTTTTAATCGCAAGTACGCTATAGTTAATTGATTTTATGATGAAAGAAGATAGTGACGTTTGCGTCAAAATGCTAGTAAATTTCAGTTCTATAATATAACAAAGTCTTTTTTAAAATAATTTTTTTGTAATCTTTGACTAGGATTTTCACTGTAGCACTTTTAATTTATTGATAAATAAAGTGGTAAACATTTTTATTGAAACAATCCGAACAGAAAGTCAAAATATTATAGAAATACAACCTTTTTTTTATCGATTCTTTCTGGTATACTAAAACAAATATCTTAGAATTTTATTTTACAAAAAAAGGTATACTTTTCATAATTCATTTGTATTCTTTATTTTATAATAAAATTCTTTCTATTCTGATTAAATAAATGATTACTACGATAAATTCTTCGAATATTTTTTTTTGCAGGTTGAATTGTCTTCCAATGAAGTTAATCATCTTTATAAATGATAAATAAAACATTTGACTTCTGTCTAAAAAATATATTTATTACATTTGTTGTATATTCTGAAAATAGTTTAAATTCTCAATTTATTATTATTGAGATAAAATACTTTTAAAGTAACTTTTAAATGATTGTTGAGGTCTATTCAGAACAATTACTTTATTAATATTGCATAGAGACAGATCATAATGAGAATAGGTTATTGTGAGTGTTTTAGATCTGTTCATTGTTCTTATTTAAAGATATAGATATGATAAAAATATTTCTATCATTTTCCTGACAATTGCAATATGTTAATAGCAATAAGTTAACGATCTACCCTCAATTGAGTGCACATTATACAAAATAGCCCTCATTAAAAAGCAATTAATCAACTGGTTGACCTTTCTCGTTAGAAAAAAAACTTATTTCATCTGACGGATATCAATTTTTTTTTGATCATCTCTTATGAATTTTGCTTTAGTTAATATGATTTATGATATAATTTGCTAAATATCATAGCAAAATTTAACTATAATTTTTAGTTTCAATTTAAACAAATTTTTTCTTATAGTTTCAATTAAAATTTAAAAAGCGATTAATATTGATTATAAATAAAATATATTAATGATTTGCTTAAATAATAAAACAACATATTTTATGAGTAGAAAAAATTGAACAATAAGATCTTAAAAAAATAACACTTAGATAGAACACATATAGATAAAATTAAAAACTTCATAAAATAACAAAGAAAATATGCTTTTTTTTTTTTTTTTAAGAAAAAGTAACAAAATTAGAATAATATAGCATGTAAAAGAATGAAAAATATAAATAATTCAAGAACGAAAAATATTACTCTTCTAATCACTAAGAGAACTCGTACAATTATCTAAGAATAATCGAACAGATACAAAAAAGAAAATAATAATAAACTACTTATACATGAAAAAATTTGAATTTTTTTTCTACTACTCAATTTTTATACAAATAATCACTGGGTAAAATGGCTAAATATAAATTGAATAAGATGAATATTTTCATTTTTGATATAAATACATATATGATGTTCATAGCAAAAAAAGAAAATTCATTTAATCCACATGAACATTGCAATGGAACGAAAAAATAATTCAAATATTGATACCAATAGATCGATCACAAACAACAAAATTGACTTTCATAAATCATCTGAATATGAAATGCTTGTTTTTTCTTTTTCTTTATGAAGTATTTTCTTTTGATGATTCTTTATTAACATTCATCGAATTTCGTTGATTTTGAAAATGCATAATTTTTAAAAGAACTAATTGTATAAATTTTCGAACATTAGTTTCATGTTTATGAAAAATATTTTGTTCAGTTTGTAATATTTGATCGAATTTTGCTTCTATTAAATATATATATATATATATATTTCAAACATGAACAATGTTCTAACTATACCTAATAGTGATGTTCGTATGTAATATTTGTTTGAATTTGATTTTCTATGATTTCCAATATCATTCAACAATTGTTTATTACATGATAATGATTGATCTAATTATATTATTTAATTTTGATTATAAGAATAACGAATATAAAAAGAAAAATTAACAAACCTGATATTTTATTAGAATTTGAACTAATCTCAAACATATCAAATTTTTCTAAACAAAAATAAATTAAAGAAATTTTAGATGCGAAAAAATAATGACTGACTTTCTACATAATCATTATAATATGAAAATATACCATTTTGCTGTTCAGGCAAAATACAATGTTTAATGTCATCTTTGCAATAAAATGATTTGATGAAACTATATAACATTATATCATGTAATACGCATTGAAAACCACAATCTAGTTGTCTTGGAGAATCTTTTTTCAACATTTGCTTATCATTTGAATCTTAAAATATTTGTATCAAATATTATTAAAAAAGAATATTTTTCTAAAATTATTTACGTACCATCATATGTTATCGGTATGTTAATATTATCTTTGATATTAACATTGAATTTATTCTGTACAGTTGTCTTTAAAAAAGACAACATTTTTTTTTCTATCATTATATCATCTACAAAAATATAATGGTAATATATTATTAATAGATAAAAAAACACCAACTGAAATATTTTCTCTTTATTTTTTTACCTTGATGAATATTATTTATTTCATGAAACATGAACTTATCATGTTCTTGAAAATGTATTACACCTGATGGTATGACTTTCCAAGTAAAATAAGTACAACCTAAATAGATAATATAAAAAAAAAATATGATGAACAAAAAAAATTTACAAATTTATTTACCAAAAAAACATATCAAAATCATAAAAAGTTTAAGAAATTTTTGTGTATATACTAAATTTATAAAAATAAATTTAAAATATTATACTTTTTAACAATAAATAAAACTTACTGTGAATATCATCAGATACATTATCTAAAAAACAAAAAAAAAGAAAGAATTAGATTTAAAAGATAAATCACAAATTGATGAAAGTACCTGCAAACCAAGGTGTTGTTTGTCCTCCTAACACATTCAAATAATAGTCATCACATATAATATGATTATTTATTTTTTGATCTAATGATTATTTTAAATATATTTTATTTATATAATTAAAAAAAAATAAACATACCACTAATTTGTTCAATTCCATCGTTATATAATTCTGAAACTTCTTGAGAAAAATCTATAAAATAGAGAAAAACGAAAAAAAAAAACAGAAGTTTAATAGAATTTATTTTTAATATTTTTCATCTAGAAGAATTTACTAAAAATTATTCAAATAATAATTTAGATAGTAGTCAAAGTGATTCGAGAAAAAAAAACTATGATAGAAGATTTTTTTTTTCTCTGAATATAATTACTTTCATGTTTATTAGATAAATAAATATATTCCAATGGAAAAAAAAGAAATGTTTATCATGTTTTTAATATGTGAATAAATTTTTCGATTGCTTCACAATGATTCGAAACTATATTTTTTATATCCCGGAAAATAAATAGCTGTATTCAATATACTATAACACATAATTTTTAGTTTCTATTCAAGAAACAAATAAATAATTGTTAGAAATAGTCATTTTTGTTTTCACTTTTTACTAAAATAAAATATTGATTAAAGCTCATAAGACAAATAGAAAGTCCTTACATTGATCATCAATCGATTCATCCATCACCGATTAATAATTGAAGTTGATCATATATATATATGTAAAACAATCGAATATCGTTCCACCGGATATTAAAATAATAAATCAAAGTATTAATTGATCTAAATAATGTTTATCTAAAAAATGAAGTACTTTATATGAAAACAATCGAAATTTAATTTTTTAGAAGAAAACAAAAAATTTAAAAAAAAATAACATGTCTATACTAGAAAGAAGTTTATTATCAAAATAACAGAATTTTATTTTAAATGTATTTTGACCAAGTATAATAATATTCTTACATTATATGTCATAGTTACAATATAGTGTAACATAAATAATTATCTTTTTACATTCGTCATTTATCGAAACATATAGATAGTTTTAACAAGTAAATTCATCTATTGTTCTCTATAAAATAATGTCATTATTTCGTCATCTTATAGAATAAAGTAAATGAACTTGCTAGTGTGAAACAATCCATATGTATGTTTTGATTCGTATCCAAATAGCTTTCTCTTATTTTATTTAAATATATAATATCTTCATATATTACTATGCATCTATCATAAAGAACAAAGGAGAGAAGAGTAAGGGACACGAAGAAAAAATAAGGAGCACCAATCATAAGCGAGAGAAAAGAAAAGAAAGAGAAGAGAACATCAAGGATCTGTTGATCATCATAATATGATTGTTAACTATATGCTAAATAAAGAGCAAACGAAAGATTGACACATAATGAGAGATCGAGGATCACACTTTCATTTCTAATATATATATCACTTCTTGATATTATATTTTTTTTTGTCGCCTCATACTAAAGAAATGTTTTTTTTCGTATTTATCTCTCACAAAAACAAAAACGAGCGTCTTGTTTATTTCTTTCTTGTCCTTGTAACATGAATTTTGTTCTTTTTTTCTATTCGTTCTATTTCGTTTGTACGAAAAGTATAAATTAATTTAACTAAAATTGTATAGGTACGTGATATTGTCACTATAAATATAGTACTAAAATGTAATAGGATTATTTCAGCATATTATATAAGATTTTTACGACTGATATTGTCGCAGAATAATGAAGTTTAAGAGTAGAAAAAAAGAACAAAAATCTTATTTTTCATTGACAATATCTATTTTTTACTTATAAAAATTAACTACAAAAGAATCATTTCAAATTAAATTAATCAAACAATAACAATATTTCGAATTTTACTATATTAACATTTTATCATAGAAAAACTCATTTATTCGTTTTTATCGATTGACTTGATTAATGAACAAATAACTCATTTATATTTAGAACAATAGATATATAGTTAAGTGTTATATTCAATCCTATTATGCACTGTTTTGCATTGATAACCTTTGTATTTTTGTATCCTCTGATTATGGTCTCCATTGTCTGTGTCATAAATAGAGAGATAAAGAAAAATACTATCCCATACTCTATAGTATGTCAAAACGTCTATCGTACAATCTTCTATTAACATGTGAAATAATGATGAAAAAAATAAGATAATATTTCTTTTTTTTTTTGTTTGTCTTTCCACACTGGTCATATAGCAGATTATTGGAATGATCTGCTTTTCAGCAGTAAAGATTTTTTTTTTTTCTTATGTAAATAAATTTGCATACTTCTTGTCTTTTCCGCTATCACTAGTTTTTGATTATTAGTTTTAAATGAAAGAAACCAAAAGAAAAAAAAAAGATTTTCGTTTTGATCGCTTTATCTATCACTGAAAGTATGTTTGCTAGTCAAAAAAAAATATATATATATATTCTATTGTTTTATTTAAGAAATAATGTCAGACATACTCAGGCTTCATATGAGTATTCACTACTTTAATGAGCTGTATTCAAAAATGTTTTATACAAACTTCATAAAATATCAAAAAACAAATGTTTTCACATTTTACTGGCTGTTAACGAGTAATTGATTACATATTTCATCTTTATACTGGATATTGTTCAGTTTCTTTCGAAAATTCAAATCATGAATTTTCGTTTCACACCTCCATAACTTCTGATGAGTGAAAGTCTGATTAATCTTTTTTTAATCCGTGACAACTTAAAAGTGTTACAACATATTGAAAAGTTCATAAGATCTTATCTATGGAGAAAGTTTCGTAATTCAATCACCCTACAAATACTCTGCTAAAGATAAAAAAACTAGGTAAAATTGTAATAATTTGAGAAGAATAATAGATGAAGATGAATTCTTTTAGACTTCGACTAGTCTTATCAAGATGAAAATCTCTAATAAATACAACTATTATTTTCGAATATTAATGAAAAAAGAATATTGTTAAATTTAAGAAGATCAAAGTTTAATAAAATATATATTGACTGAATATTTTTCAATTATAATCATAGAATAATTCTTGAGATGCAATTAAATGTAATCCGAAGTAATATTGTAAAGTAGCAAATTATGAACAACAATGATATGCATTACAGATGAATAAAAACTTACTAATTTATTGAATAAAAATAATGATGATGATCAATGAACAAGAAACGAACATTTATGAAGTAAAAAAAAAATATAGATAATAAAAAAATTTGATGATACTGAGCAACAAAACAGGGGAATAATACATGAAAACTTATCGAATGATGTCAGTTACATATTCTCTAATGTGTTTCTAGGTGTTACTGGCAAATACCCTAATCAACGAAAAAAAAAAACATGACAATGTCATACAGCAAAATATACCATTGATTGGCACATAAAAGTATTGATTGGTGTAAATAGCCAATTGACAATTATAAAATAAAAATACGTAATACTTTTGATGTATTCTATGTAATCACTAACATCAATGGAGATACATCATACATAGGTGAAGGATAGGGAGAAATCCATTTCAAAATGCGTGATTTGCTGGTTAATAGCTTGTTACATAAAGCAAAGTGTCTAGTCATGAATAGATTATGGCTTTTATGATCATATTTAAGAATATGAAAAATTTTTTTTCTAAATCCTTCTATTTCAGAAAATATAATCGATAATTAGAACATCAAAAGAATAATATTACTAAATATTGATTCATAATTAAATATGTTCCTATATCTATACATTAACGAAACAAATAAACGAAGACTTTTGTATTATTATTTCGTTAGTCTAACATCAGTTGTGAATCATTATGACATTGTTCATGTGTAAAATACTTTTATTTATTACATTCGTTTTCATAATGAATACAATATATTTTAGCAGTATTTTTAAGTAATTTACATAATACGTATTCTTGTAGGCGAACTAATGAAATTATTTTTTTTTTTGTAAAGAAGAAAAATTTGTCGATCATGAAATGGATGTGATATGTACATTTTTGTAAACATTCATTCAAATTGATGATCTATGACAAATAATTTGCAGTTTCTTTTTATACAAGAAAAGTTATAATACATGCCCGAATTACAATTGAAAACTAAGTCCAACTTTAAACTAATTGTTCATCGATTTAATCTATTGAACAAAATTATTTAAGAAACTTGACTGAACTTTTTCTGGATTGAGAAAGTTGAATCTGAAAATAGTTTGCAAATTTTCTTATTATTGAAATTTTCTAATGTACGTATTGTATATTTCCCTAAAACTTATAGAACATATTATAGTAGTTTTACTTCAATCTATTCATGTATACCATATATATAGGTTTTTTTCCCTTCTTTACCTGTAATACACACACATGTATATATATATATATATGTATATATGGGCACATTGCAAAATTATTGTGTCGTTTTGTGAAGAAAAAAAGAACGAAAAAAACAATTTTCGATTTTTTAAACGATGATCAGTACATTCTATGATATTATATGAAAAGAGAATCTGAATAAATTTTCCCGACTACCACTATCAGATTGACTGAGATGTGAGAGTTTTTTTTGTTTTAAATTACTTTTTAAATTCAAGATCATATGATTTTGACATATTTCGCCTCAGTTGAATTTTTTGACAGTATTTTAAATTTTTACGTTGAGCCTTTTCTTTGTAATGAGCAATGATGCTTAATCTAAAATTAGCACTTGAAACAGTATGATATGTCCCAAAATTTTTTTTTGATTTTAATACTTATAAAGGAATAAAATTTACAAATGTGCAATCAATTAGAGAATATATATAATTATTGACTTTTTTTCTGTGAATTTGTTAACTTGTGAGACACAATCTAGAATTAATTCGCATGACTCTTGATAGCTCTTTAAATATGAAATCAATTGATATATAATGTATTTATTTTGGCTTTAGCTGTGAAGTAGTTTGTCTTTGGTTACTTTTATCTTCCATTCAATGACTCTCGTTCAAAATCAATCCGATCAATTTCAGATGCGTCATTACATGTCAAAGTTATTTTTAATCTCGCGAGACAGCAATTCGAGGATTGATTGTACCAGAAGTGCAGAATCTACTCACATGCACGATCGGCCAGTCAGGAAAATTTGTGAGAAATTATTAGTAGCGGGGTAAATTCCTTGAAAAAATATGTTTCTTTCCTAGGAATATTCTTTTTATTACACTTCTGAAAGAATCATCAAGTCTTTCTCGTAGTGTATATATAGTCACAGAGTAAATGAGAAATCTTTAACATATTTGAATAATAAAAATTCTTATGATCTACATCTTATTCAGAGGCGATTGTAAAAATTTTCCCTCGTTATCTATATGATCATATGTATGTATATACGTTCTTTTTCTTTCTATTGTTATTAGTCATGCGCCACGGATTTGTCCTTTCTGTCATATATGTGTGATGGACTTCTCCTTTTCTTCTACTATTCTTTGTTTCAACTTGTTTTATGGATTTTTTCCTCCTGTTATCGTCTTATATATAGTCGTTAGATTATTACGAATTAAAGAAGATATATTCGCAAATAATTTAACAAGCATTGAGATCTCACAGAAATATACTCAAGCAAACAACGGGTTACATGTTTTTATTAGTTATATGAGAGATAGACAATGACTATTTTATTTAATAAGTGAACAATATCAAGTTTGGATACTTGTTTCTTCCGACTCACGAGAGAAGGTCTCCACCTGTCAAATCGATTTTTGATCGAGCATATGCTTAAACGATAGACCTCAATGAGCTATTAAATACTCTACAAGGGTCTGATTATTCAGGCCTTCTGTGAAGAGATATGCGATTATTATTATTAGTAATTTTGTTGTACTACTCTACTAATGTATTTGATATGTTGGCTAAACATGCTTTGTTCCGGCTCAAATTTATATCAGTATTGAGGTCCTCTGTACTGATTTAGATCCCAGAGTTTCAAGATAAATTATTGTTTCTTATCGTAGATATGTAATTGGTTTGACACACCGATTGGTTATTAAAAAACAACATGTGCTCTCACTCAAAGATGCAAATATTGATTCATCTGATATTTTCAACACACATTCAATTCATAGTGAGTATGCATGTGGAAATGTTAGTTTATTTTCTGGTTCTTTAGTTAATAAAAACTAGAGTCATGGATTCATGTACTTTTCATCATTTGATCTATTTTCAGTGGCATGCTTATAGACCAGAAAAAAGAGTCAACAAAAACAAAGAAAATGGGATGAATTATGTAATTCGTGAAAGTGAGACTTTTTGAGAAAATGTTCAATACATAATATATAATTACGATAAACTACACATAGTGAATAAACATAAGGAGCAATCATATTCCTGCTATTTGTAATAGTAGTAGAAATTAATTATCATGATTAAATATACCTATATATATTCAATGCGGACATGTGCTCCTCCAGACAATCCTTCTTTCATTTTACATATCAATCTCTTTTTAACTACATCAGGACACAATTATCTCTCTTTGTCGACTCCGATTATCAACGATTGTATGAAAAAAAAAACGCATTCAAACACAAAAAAAAGTAAGTTGGATCAATTGAAATACATATGCAAGATATCGAAAACTTTGTAAAATTGAGTTTAGTACATTAGTACCGTATGTTCGAATCCATGGCTCGAGTTTTTATTAACTAAAGAACCAGTAAATAAACTAACATTTTCACATGCATACTCACTAGAAGTGTGAATTTATTGTTATTGTTATAAATAACAATAACAAAACATAGTTATTGTTCTCAATAACAATAACCTTTTTTTTTTGTTATTTGTTATAAATAACAAAAAAATAACAAATAACTTTTTTTTTTCTGAAGAACCTTCAACTCGAATCGCTGTCTATCTCAACAATACCAATTCTATTGATCTATGTCTAAGAAATGAATTTTCTACAGCTATGACATCAATCGATCTGAAAATTTAAAAATTTGCATAGATCATATACCGAGTGGGCCAAAAGTAACAGAAGAAATAATTTTTTCGATTTTTTTTCTTTTAAATATCGACAGTTACATCTCATATATATACTACATATACTAGGTGATACTAGTCAGAGATGTGTCATATGATCAGTCTCTAGGCATAGCAATTTGTTCCAAAACATATAGAATCGAATTTGTATTTCAAAATGGAATGAACAAACAAGGATATGAAAATCGTATGTAACACAAAAAACATTGAATTTCTCATATAGTCACGTGCGAGCAATTAATACCTGTATATACTTTGAAACAAATTGCTATGCTTAGAGGCTGATCATATGACGCATCTCTGACTAGTATCACCTAGTATATGTAGTATATATATATGAGATGTAACTGTCGATATTTAAAGAAAAAAAAATTTCTCCTGTTACTTTTGGCCCACTCTGTATATGATCTATGCAAATTCTCAAATTTTCAGATCAATCGATGTCATAGCCGTAGCAAATTCATTTCTTAAACATAGACTAATCGAATTGGTATTATTGAGATAGACAGCAATTCGAGTTGAAGGTTCTTCAGAAAAAAAAAGTTATTTGTTATTTTTTTGTTATTTATAACAAATAACAAAAAAAAGTTATTTGTTATTTTTTTGTTATTTGTAACAAATAACAAAGATAGTATTGTTGTTGATAACAATAACTTTTTTATTATTGTTATTGTTATTAATAACAAGCGAATAACAATAATTTCTCACTCCTAATACTCACTATGAATTGAATATGTGTTGAAAATATCAGATGAATCAATATTTGCATGTTTGAGTGAAAGCACATGTTGTTTGTTAATAACCAATCGGTGTGTCAAACCAATTACATATCTATGATAAGAAACAATGATTTATCTTAAAACTCTGGGAACTAAATTAGTACAGAGGGCCTCAATACTGATATAAATTTGAGCCGGAACAGAGCATGTTTAACCAACATATCAAATACATTAGTAGAGTAGTACAGCAAAATTACTAATAATAATAATCGCATATTTCTGCTCAGGCAGCCAGAAAAATCAAACCCTTGTAGAGTATTTAATAGTTCATTGAGGCCTATCGTTTGAGTATATACTCGATCAAAAATCGATTTGACAGTGGGAGACCTTCTCTTGTTAGCTAATGGATTATTATTGTTACGTGAAACTTGTGGAACTTTGAAATAATATTTCAAAAAAACAAATACAACTATTAAAAATCGTACCTATGAGATGGATTAGTTCTTTTAGCTGGAAGTTCATTTCGGTTAATACAACCACCAAAAGGTCCTGATGGTGGTAGAGGATTTTGTTTCGGTGGATCAAATTATTTCGTCATTGGATCATCAAATTTTTCAATTTGTGCCGCAATAAATAACAATAAATACTTGTCGATATTTATTAATTTGTTCCCGAGCTACATCTATTTAAACATTGAAAGTTATTTCACTCATATAGAAAGTAATCATCTAACAAGTAGGTCTTATTACATACTAATATAAAACATACCGCAATTTACTTGCTTAAACTTTGCATGACGATGTATCTTTTTGTCTAGATGATTTCTTGATCAGTTACTGTTTGGAAGTGTGTTCAGAGATTAATTAATGTTCAAGAACTGGAAGAATAGGTATTATTAAGTTCTATCAAACTAGAAAATAGCAACTAGCAAATTTTGCAGAAAAAAGTGACGGAGGTGTCGAACCGTAGATTCGAACCATATTTTCTATTAGTGTGTAATGTGAATAATCGAGCAGTTTTTGTTGTATGTATGTATATTTTTTAGGTGTTCTAGCGAGCACTCTAACTCGTTTTTCCAGCAGTGGACAATTGGAACAGTCGATGGGGGAATTGTTCACCTTTATGGACAAATGCTTCACCCCACATAAATTCATACATATCAAGGAGAAATGGAAAGAAAGAATCAAAAAAAAAAATATATATATATACATATAATCTATTACTAGAAATATCCTTTAAGATGAAAAAGTAAAATGATCCATTTCTCTCTAAGTCTTTTCAACTTCTGCTTGTGAATGAAGACATGGATAGAGTAGTTCTCTTTGTTATTGTTCGTTTTCTCTTGTAGTGATGTGATCGAATGAAGGTAGTATGTTTGTAAAAAAAGTGTTTCATTCTGACTTTATGTGGTTGAAGCATTTCTGCTTGAAGTGGAATAATTTCTCTTTGATACGAGGATATGGTCCAGCCCTCTCTGGATATGATAATTTTGACCAAATGAACACATTTTTTGCGTTTTCTCATTAGCGTTAACGACTCACAATTGCGGTTTCATTTTGAGCGTTTACATGCGCTTTTCTAAATTTTTGTCTGCTTGAGTCGGTTGGTTCTTTCTTCACTCACAAACATTCACTCAAATTATGAAAATTTTATTAAACTATTTCATTAATGAGAAACTAATAAATCATGTTTTCAGTCACGTAGGAAACATGTGTCAATCAATTATTATTTTGAACGTGGAATATTAATGTATCTTTCAACATTTTGCACTTTTTCATGGCCGAAACCGAAAGCCAAACGAGCGTGAAAGAGAGAACGCTCGACACGTGTAAAAGCTGCGTCATAATTTTGAAGATCTTCATATGTTCTTGCTGTATTGAAATGAATCACATACATCGATGAATAATTAGGAGATAGTAATGATTCTTGAATATGGAGTGATTTCTCATAGAATTGAGCAGCTTCTGTTTTCATTTCCATAGGTGAATAAATTGCTACAATGCTACTGTATATTGGAACTAATGATGTGTCTTTAGGACTAAATATTTTTTCCTGAATGGCTAATGCTTTTTGATAAAATAGCAAAGCATTTGTTTTGCCATCCATAGAACCATAAGCGACAGCAATATTATTATAAGTTTTTCCCAAGGATAGATCATCAAGAGAAAGTGTTTGTTCCAGTATTGCTAAAGCTTTTCGATAAAAGTTCCAAGCATCTGAATACTCGTTCATCGAATGATGTATAGATGCAATATTTCTATACGGTGAAGCTAATGCCGGATCATTGTGAGAGAGAGCTTTTTCTCGAATGGCAAGTGCTTTTTGATGATATAACAGAGCATTCTGTTTATCATCTACACAATCATAAGCAACTGCAACATTATTATAAATTGTTTCCAAGGATGGGTCATCCAAAGAAAGTATTTTCTCTTCAATTGCTATTGCTTTTCGATAATAACTAATAGCATCTGACTAATTTTTCATTGAATGATAAATTGATCCCAGATTACTATAGACATTAGCCAGTGATGAACCATTCGCAACAAGATCTTTTTCATGAATTGTACACGCTTTTTCATAATATGAAATTGCATTTTGATAATTATCTATCGCATAATATGTTAGACCAATGTTGTAATAAGTTTTTGTCAAATCCTGATGATTCGATGGTAACAATCTTTGTTGTATCGCTAATACTTTCTCGAATAATGAAATAGCTGTTGGATAAGTTTTCATCTAATAATACGTGAGTTCCATATTGGAATATGTTGTTGTTAATGATTGTTCTCTAGTTGATTTGGAATGTTGTTGAATGTCTAATGCTTTCTCATAGAATGACAATACTGTTGAATAGTCTTTCATCAAATTATGAATTAAACCAAGATTGTTATAAGTTATAGCTAGAGATAGATGATCTTCTGAACGTGATTTCAATCGGAGATTGAGAGCTTTTTGTAAAAATGATAGTGCTTTGTATAATCTTTTATTGAATGATAAATCAAACCAATTTTATTGTAGGTGTTAACTAAATCCGGATGATTATTTGAAAGAGATTTCTGTTGAATTTCAAGTGCTTTTTCATAGCAAACATGTGCTTTCGATTTGTCGCCGATTGAACTATGAATTGTACCAAGATTATCATAACTATTAGCCATCTCGGGATGATTTTCACCAAGAGAATGTTGACGAATATCGAAAGCTTTCTGATAATAAGATTGTGCAATCGATTTATCATCCATTGAATTATAAACGGAACCCAGGTTATCATATATATTAGTGAAACTGGTACGTTTTTGCTAAGAGATTTTGTTCGAATATCGAGTGACTTTTGAAAAAATGATAATGCAGTTGTATAATTTCCCATTGTATTATGTACCGAACCAATATTGTTGTAATTAATAGCTATATCAGGATGATTAGGTGGAAGAGATATTTCTCGAATTCTGAAGGATTTTTCATGAAATGCAAGTCCTTTTAAATGATTTCCCATTGAACTGTGTATTATACCAATGTTGCCATAGCTAATAGCTAAATCCACATGTGTAGAAGGAAGAATTTTTCCTTGAATTTTGAGAGTCTTTTGATAATCTGAAAGTGCAGTTGGATCGTTGCCCAATGAACTATAGGCTGTTCCGATAGTATTATAAATGGTACCAAAATCTGGATGATTGGGAGGAAGAGATTTTTCTCGCATTGCACGTGTTGTTTTGTAGAAATCAAGTGCAGCCACATAATCACCCATTGAACTATGAACTGATCCTAGGTTATTGTATGTAGTATCTAACAAAGGATGGTCGGCATGAAGAGCTTTTCTATAAAAAGATAGAGCTGATGAATATTCACCCATTGAATGATGCACCCCAGCAATATTTTTGTAGGTAGTAGCCAATGACGAATCATCTTCGGCAACATAGTTCTGTTCCATTTCAAGTGCTTTTTGGTAATGTGATAAAGCAGTCGTATAGTCACCCTTATGACTATACACATATCCAAGTTGATGATTGAGATGAGCTTGACTGCACCAAGTTTTTTCATTTTCGAAATTGAGTTGTGTACCAAAGATATCTTCAGCTTGATGGAATTCACCCAATTTCAGCATCAAACTTCCTAATCAATCCAAAGGATCACCGCTTCCAATCTCTTTTCTAAAATGATTCAATTAATATCTTGAGTGTTAGATCATTGTCACTTGTTAGACTTAGATTAACGAGCCAATATTGATCTTGAATATGTTGAACAGCAACAACACGAAAAACAGTATGCATAGAGAAAAAAATTTCATTTTCATAGTTGTAAGAACTATTTTCTTCTAAATAAGCAAACGGAATTGATGATTTCGTAGGGATCAATGGTCATTTGAAAGAGTACTGCATTCACTTTTTGGATTCTCAGCTGCACATACAGCGAATTGTATTGAAACATTTAAATCAAGACTGGTTCATAAAAAATTGTTGAATGAAAGAAGATCGGCAACACTATTTTTCAACTTATCGAATTCATCTAATAACATACCTTGACTACGATATACCGTTATTTCTTTGTTTCGATTACTTTGTTCTTTATACATTTTTTGAAATTTGTTGATGAAAATCGCAAATAATAAATCCCATTTTCATAATAGTTTCAATATCTTGTGATCTTAGAGCACGATTCATCATCGAAAATAGAAAAGACTCTTTCGTATACCATTCAACAACTATTTGATCATTGCACTCTAATTTAAAGTCATCGATGAGTCCCAGTTGACATTCATTATCAGCATATTTAATACGACAGAATTTAACCAGTGCATTCTTCCGTTTATAATCACGTTTCATATCGAGTAGAATTTCTTTAAGTAATTGCGTATACATAAATGATTTGTTTAGTTCACTGGACCCACTGTCTTGAATCTCCATCTCGTGTTTTGGTAGGATCCTAATCGGAGGCACACTATCAATTTGACCATTATCGGCCTTAATCGCTTGAAAGATCTGTTCCATGTCATGAAAAATTCCTTTCACTCTTTGTGCCCATTTATTAGTCCTGTGATATGTTGATTTCACTTATATTTTATTTCTATAAATTTACCTTTTTCAAAAACATCCCTTTATAAACAACAATGCAACACTATATATAGTGATAACAACTGTTGGAAAATTCCCAATGAAACATTTCATAAAAACGAACGAAAGAAAGAAAAACAGAATGAATGGGAAAATTCCCATAGCTAACGGGAAAAAACCTTATACATACATCTAACTAAGATCGAGGGCATAACACGCCCAGTTTGCTCGTAGCTGTTTTTTGTGGATGAAATATATAGATACAATCAAGTTGTGATTTACCGACAATAATTGGTACAAGTTGTTCACCGGCTAGATCCAAAACAATAAGAACTACTGTCTGTTCAATGATGTTATCAATACAATTAATACATTGATGAGAATCAGTGAATGTATAAATCGAATTGGCAATGTGGTTAAGTTTAGTGATTGAGTTCTGATAGATTTTTTCAAGTTCATCTATACGAGGGTCCACCCAGATAATAACCAAATTTTGGTTCACATCATACTGCGAATGTATTGAGAAATTGGTGGACTTTTTTCTTCCAATCGATGCTTTTAAAGCTGTTGAGCTAGCTCTCGATGAAGCACTAGTGATTCTTTTTGCTGTACCATTCTGAGATGTGACAGAGGGTGTTCGGATCTGTCTACTAGTCTGAGATGTTGCACTTGCTGTTCTCTTTGCTGCGTCATTCTAGGATGTGGAAGAAGATATTCGAGTTTATTTATTATTTTAAGATATTGCACTTGTTATTCGTTGGGTCACATCTTTTTTCGATGAGGAACGCGATATTTCTTTCGGTTGGTTGCTGCATTTGCTTTGAGATGTTGTAGATTAGTAATCTGAGTGACTGCCGACGATCCACAACCCATGGAGAATAATATAATTTTATTTTTGATAGTAGATTCGAATACATGCTTCTAAGAAATGAAAAACTTTCTCGATAATAAATAATTTCAATACGTTGATGTTCTTCAAATTTTTCAAAATCAAAATTTGATTACTTCTTCAACAAACATTTTGATGACCATATGTAAAATGTCTCTTTCTGCTGACATTATAATGTGTAATGAATTATGGAGAAAGAAAAAAAGCTGCCACTAAGGAAGAAACATGTTGGTAATACATACATTCAACGCTTGTCATGACGATGCCAGCGTTTCATCAGCATAGTCAAAAGTAGTGAGCAATCAAAATGAAATATTCAAGCAATGTTATGTTTTCCAGTGACGGCATCATATTTTAGAAACATTTGGATAGATTCTCTTTCTTTCTTTCTTCATGTTTACAAAAGAATTCAGACTGTCTTAAAACACCATATATACCTCCGGATTGCAGTATAACAAGTATGAAATACAGAAAATAAGTTAAACTCAAGTAATTACTTCTTTGTACTCAAACAATATTCAACAGAACTCATCTAAAAGGAAAAACTCTTGAAAATACATATGAAGGATTTCAAAGAAAATCAAATGCCTTTTTTCTCGCAATGGATTTTTTTACTATGCTGAAGTTATGTTTCAGTTCTGTAATAGATATTGTAGTACCCACCACGCGTCTTCATTTAAAAACTACAAAGTACATAGTAAAAAAAAATTACATTTTTCTCAATCGAATAAAGACCAACCATAATCAACAATGGATAGATCTTTTCCATGTCATAAATATCGGATGTTGGACTGTATTTCGAAAATCGACAGGTACGCACCCTATTCAACCTCAACATCATCTTTCTTCCTGGTTCGACAGTTTAACTACTTTACTACGAATTATTGGTTTTCGGCAGCTAATTGAATTTTCGTGAATAAAGAAAAATATCATGAACATGCATCAATATTCGAATTTTGAAGGGTTTGAATTTAGGTTTGAGCGTGAATATGGAGTATGGATGCGAGTATGAGTGTGAAGTGTGTGTATATGAACACTCACACCCACATCCCGACTTGGCTTTATAATAAAAGATTTTATTCTGGATCACCAGAAATTTAGTGTTGTTTATGAAGACATTTATTTCCAGTGTAATCAATTGAATGTTAGATAAACATGTCAGCATTTGAAAATAAATATAAAAGAACATTCTTCGCTCAAACATTACTATTTTCAATCTTCCATCCCTTCCTGAATGATCGTGACAGACATATTGGGTGGAAGCCAGTGTAGATCTTTTCTTCATTTATCTTCTGCTGTAAAACTATTTGATCCAAAGAAAGATGAAAGATGTGATGTTTGCCAGAGAACTCAATATTTTTTATATTTGATCAACTTTGTTTTAATCATATTTTTACTTTCACATCGCGGCATGTTCTTGCTTATCAATTTAATACTCGACGACTTACTACAATGCGTTATTCTAGTATCAAATTACGATTACTACTTGACGTGAAGATAATCAGTGTCCTAGAAAAGGTTTTTACCATCATCTACTTCGACAAAAGGAGGTGATGAAAAAGTTGTAATTGGAACTGAAACTGACTACTTGGATATTGAATTTTATAGAATCATTTTGTTTTACATGCTCATGCATGAATGGTTGCTAAATATCTTTCTTTCGAAAGTTCTTAATTGAAAAATCTCATGTGGCACAGCACTCTCATATTGAGAAGTTACATTACATATACTCATCGATACGAGAATCGAATGGAAACTTAGGAGACCTTTTATCAACCTATCAAAATATGTGCTCTATGTATTCGTTTACTAGGTAAATGTTCTTTGGAAGGTAATGCTATTGTCAATACAAGCGACCTTTACCGGAAAGTGACTCTTAGTACATATTAGAATACGAAATACTCTATGAGATTCGTTTGTCTTGCTTGTGCTCTTTTAGATTACGAAGGATGTATTCTTCTATTATCTGTATAGACTTGTTGTTATGTTTTATCTTTGTCAAATATTTGAATACCTTCAAATGTCTAAAATGATCTGATATTAAGATTACTAACGAATTACAGTTGAATACATACCCACAACTTCGTTATTTTCCATTGGATTTCAAAAATCTCAAGTTCATCAAAAATTTGTGGAATCGTCTGTTTTTTCTTCTAGATGAGTAATGCTACACTTGCTTTTCTTCTTTGTGTACAGCTGTTCAACGTAGTCTTTGTACTGGCAGGTCAAGAATCATTTAGAGATAGTAAAGGTTTAAAGACAATCTTGATATGTATGTTCTTTCATGTTTATTTCATTGTAAAATGTTCTCTCGTTTAGCGAAAACAACAGGTAATGGAAGTTTAGAGCCAGACTTTGTGACAGCACGTGTTCCGATGCGTGATCGTATCGATCTCACTGTTGACTACTTTCTGGCCTCACCAACAGGTCGATATCCAGCTATTGTTGAAATTACACCATATGGTCGAATTCTTCAACGACCCAACTTTCGTTCTGAAGCCAGTTATTGGATAAAGCATGGCTATGCTTTTATTATTGCTGATGCTCGTGGCACAGGTGATTCCGGTGGCGAGTATATCTTTTTGTCTCATGAGGGTAAAGATGGCTATGATCTGATCGAGTGGATCGCACGTCAACCGTGGTCAAACGGTCGTGTTGGTATGCGTGGTGCCTCTTATTCTGGTGAGAATCAATGGTATACCGCACGTGAACGTCCACCACACCTGTTGTGCATCACACCGAGCGCAACACCTGCAAGGCCTATGCATGAAGTACCTTATGATCATGGTGCATTTACACTTAGTTGGTCACTCAGTTGGATAGGATCGAGCTTAAATATCATGAAACCACCAGCAGTTGAGGCTCATTCCAATCCGATGACATGGCTCAATCATCGGCCTCTTCGCACTTTAGATGTTTATGCTGTTGGACGTGAATTACCTCTCTATCGGACCTTTCTCGATCATCCAACTCTTGATGATTTCTGGGACAAGATCAGCTTCATTCCGAACGATTTTGCAAGGATCAACATACCGACACTTGCCTTTACTGGTTGGTTTGATAGCACGTTGACGGGTACGATCGAACATTATCAAAACATTCGTCGCTTTTCTTCATTGAAAGAGGACCATTTCTTAATTGTTGGACCCTATTCCCATAGTACCGCACCCGACGGTGGTTACGACTATTTAACTAATGAACCAGTGCCGAATGTAGGCGATATTCCAGTTCCCGAAAATGGACTTTTACCAGCAAGAGACATGACGCGACAGTTCTATGATTGGTGTCTTAAAGACAGACCACGACCCAACTGGCAACCAATTAGAATCTTTGTAACAGGTAGCAATGAATGGATGACACTGAATGTCTTTCCTCCAGAGAATGCTTACGAAAAATCTCTATTTTTAATGAGTGAAGGTCATGCTAACAGCATTACAGGCGACGGACGCCTACAGTGGGAATCACCAGTAACTACTGTGGTTGATCATTATCGCTATGATCCAATGGATCCACTAGTCATTGATATGAACAAGAAGCCATATGAACTACCGGTTGACATCAATTGTCTGTTAGATCGAAACGACGTTCTCGTTTACACCAGTGAAATACTGAATAGTTCGTTAACCGTGATTGGTAACATCATCATAGAGCTTGCATTTTCTAGTTCGGCACGAGACAGTGATTTGGTAATTCAATTGATGGATGTCATGCCAGATGGAAGTTCAATCAAACTCGGTTCAGGCTTTTCTAGTCAACTTCGATTACGTTATCGTGATGGTTTCGATCGTGAGGTTCTCATGACACAAGGAACAACTTACTTCGTTAGCATCGATCTGAACGAAATTGGACATACTTTTCTTCCACAGCATCGTATTAGACTCGCTGTTACCAGTAGTTTCTATCCATGGCTCAGTGCGAATCCAAATACCGGTAATCCAATAGCAACTGATACTCAACCATCTGTCGTAGCTGATCAGACAATTTACTACATGTCTAGCCAACCATCACGCATGCGCATGATGATAGTTGACAATCCAGTATTTGATCCATGAAAGAGTTTACAACTTCAAATATACTCATCACTAAACTATACAAAACGAACCGTTTCTTTATAAAGATTTTCGCAGAGGTAGTTTTAAAAAATCACTTTTTCATATGATTTTTGCTCTTGTGTAATATTTATCTTTAAGAGTAATTTGAATATATCTTCATTTTTTTTAAAGTTATCTGCTTGATCGCAGATAACTCTTAATATTAAACTAGACATACTATTTCATGTTGTTTGCTAAGTCAAGAATTTCAATCATATCTTTCCAATGACATTCTTTTAATTCTTTAGATTTTATTTCATCAATAAAAGGAATCCTCTACGAGCAATTCAAATGAATATAAAAAGAAACAGTTAATTTTTAAAAAGAAAAATATACTTTAAAAAAATCTTCCATGTTAGTTTTAATAACATGATAAGATAATAATTTTTAGCGGATGTTATCAGAACTGTCATTATGTAATTGATTACAATCATTTTCAGCAGAATTTCGAAGACTACAGTTTTCATCGTGTTTAACGGTGTCAGCACGAAAGGAATTTTGAAATGCTCTATTCGTCCTGGAAAAGAAATAAGAGTTCATCTACAATTCAGTAGCTATTGTATTTATTTGTTCTATAAAATACCAAGAAAAGCTAAAGCATATGAACATGATATCCAATGAAGAAATGTTAGACTGAGTCTTTACGGTGATCTCATAGAATCTTAAAGTTCTCTGGGAAAACCTTGCTACTAGAGTATTTCAAAATAATAAGTTCTACTGTGAATATCCTATGTATTGATACACTCATAAGAGATCCGCTCAGGTTGTTGTATAACGCCCATTGTTTTGTCATCTAGTTGATTGAACTGACATTAAGTGAACATTCAAACGTTGAGGGTGTGGATAAGTGTGAGTGTCGCAAGGAAGGACACCCACACCCATGTTACATGAATCTTATAATTGAATATCTGACTCGACCACAATCTATTTTATCTGACAATATTCTGAATGGATAGGTGTTGTAGCTATATTCATGTGTACTAGCAAATGGTTTACACCAGTTAACGCTCAGGCTGTACACCGATAACGCACCAGTAACAAAACTCTGACGAGAGGCGTTTTGGTCAATACAATGTAATTAACATTAGTCAACATCTCACTACTTCTCCGACACAAGAAGAACGCACCAATGATTCTCGGTATTTGATTAGGTGGCATACATCTGAACCGAGATATATTATGAGTTGGAATTGGGATGCGTGTAGATGTGCTCTTTATCTTAATTAATCTACATCCACACTCAAAGTCATCATACAAAACAAGTGATATCGTTGTGATGCTGACAAATATTGACAATCTAATCCTTGAGCAAAGTGAATGCGAGCCAGGTATCATGTTTCGATTTGAGAACTATATTTTTTCTGCTGACATGAGTATGGACCAAAAGCAAATAAGAAGTGTATCATGAAATATTGAAAGCAGCAGAGAAACAAAATAACATCTGCATTCAGTCTTTTTATGTGTAGTTAGGCAAGAAAATAATTGAGAATCGAAAACGACATGATCGAAACTTCTAATCGCTATAATTCAGATATGACAAACTGTATCGTGACGATTTAGATCTTCTTCTTCTTAGAAACATTCTTGGCATGTAAATTACTGTGCTAGAAAAAGAAGCAAGTGACTATTATCTGCTTGCTCCTTCGTTTGAAACATATGTTTCAATCGTAGTAACTTTCTTTTTTTCCTCCTGTGTTTTACTGCAGCAGAGGAAAAAATCAAGTTCGTACTACAGGAAGAATATTTTTTTCCATTTTTCAGCTCAAAAAAGATAATCATCTCTCAAGTCTTACACTAAATTCTATGAAGCAGCTTCTTGAAAGAGCTTAACAACACATAAGATTTCCAAGACTTTGGTAGTGACATCTTTAGGTACGTTAAAATCTACAAAAACTCTTAATAGGCTTTAGTATACGATGTTAGAGGCGGCTATTTATATCTATATTAAAAGATCATACTAGATTAGAGGCATAATCCTGTAATATTTTAATATTTGATGGATTGATCTGATTCGACTTTTTCGCCGTGAGACATTTGGAGAATAACTAGCATCGATGCAATTATAAAAGTTGATGTCAATGATTCATATAACTCGTCGGTGTATTTACATATGTGATGTGAGAAAAAAGTTTAAAAACATACGAACATTTAAAGTGTATGAATCATTTAGCTAGTTGTTTGTTGGATGCATTTTCTTTGCTTTCTCTTTTTATTTTAATATTAATCAAATCTTTCTCTCTTAAATGCGCATGTTTGACCAAAAAAGCGAACGCTGTTGAATGCAGCTAAGAGCAGTTCTGATTTAGACTTCTTTTTTTGTGTCCTTCAGTGCTCCATTTGTCTGTTTTCATTTATAAAATATTCACTTTTATATAACAAAATTGTTTTTCATAATGGAAAGTTAAGTTTATCATAATTTTCTTTTTTTTTTCGAAGATTTCACTTGCTCATCGATCATGACTACGACACCAAATGTAACTCGTCGACCGAATAATGTAACCAGGCATTTTTTTAATCGTTTAACGACTTCATATATACAAAGTGATTCAATCAATGCAGCAAGTAGAACACCCGCTTCTATGAGTAATGACAATACTGAGTCTTCGACATGGGTTGATTCATTAACGCATCTTGATCGTGTATTTTCTGGTAGCCTACTTCGTTTATGCTACAATGTAATTGATATTGTTCTTCTCTCTCTTGGTCTTTTCTACGGTACAAAAACGTGTAGAATTTCGAAGACTCTCGTAATAATATCAATTTGCATACTCGTTTTTGGTACTCTTGAACTTGCTATTACTCTTCTATTTTTTCTACGAAACTTGTCTTTATGTCATATGACTTTGTCCGATGCAGCAAATACAGGTCGATATCGTCAAGGATCAGCCCTACGTAGTTTTTTTCGATTTCTTAAATTTATCTCTGTATGTGTCGGTACGGCCTATGTATTTACATCGAAAATATCGGCAAACAGCAACTGTGAACTTATTCGTTTCTATCTTGGCATTGTATGTTTTAGTATGTGGGTTTTAATTTTTATTTGGCCACCAAAACCTTCACTTCCGAGGCGACGTTCATTAATGATTGTATCTCTTGTTTTTATCTTCTCTATTATTTTCAATAGCATTTATTTCGGTGTTGTGATACGTTTTACGATTAAAACAAAAAATTCAGAATGTGTTTATACACGTATTGAAGATCTATATTTTCGCGCACCACTGAAATTATTTGCTTACGTTGGACTTATTTTAGCTGTTTGCACTGTAGTTAATAATAGTCTTGCAGCCATTCTCAATCAACTTTATTATCGTCTAATGAATTTTCGAAGATTTTTCATCTATGTATCAGCTATTCATTATGCCATATCTTATTCTACAACCGTCGTTATTGTGTACTATTATTCAGTTGGAGCTGTTCTTCTATTTCGGCCTCGCTCAGGTGGATCATGCGCCGCAGTAGCTCCTGATTTTTACAAAGTCCTTTGGATATGGCATTTAATTCTTGTCTTTCCACCACTTGCTATCTGGCCTCTTACATTTCTTGTTTGTTGTCTGAGTGTTGCATTGGGAGCTTGTCTTCTATACTGTTTTCCCGCATCGATTATTGTGCCGCTTCTCGAAATGCTTGGGGTATGTCTCGTTTGAAAAGTTCAACATTTGATTTTTACTCTCTCTCTCTATTTTCAGGAAAGGTTAATGGATATTTATGGTGCAAACAATCAAAATACTCCATCATCACCAAATACTATTGAGGCCTTACCAATGGTAGTTTTTGGAGAAGCATCCAATGAATTCAATCAAACTGAATGGTTAGTGAAAACAAAAATTACAAGAAAGATCCTAAAGTTTCTGTTTTTATTAATATTCTTCTAGTGTCATTTGTAAAACGAATTATAAGGCCAATGAAAATGTGAAAAGATTGCCGTGTGGCCATTTCTTTCATCAGAGTTGTGTAGCTCATTGGCTTGCAATTACACGTATCTGTCCTGTTTGCCGTCACCGCATTTCATCAACGACTTTATAGAATAGTTTTATTCGCTTCTAAGTGTGATTATGTCTTATACTTAAATATAATTTGTATTTAAAATAAAGAATATATATTTATTTTATAATAAAATAAAATTAACTATTGAAACTGGCCGACTATTCACAAATTTGAAATTCACGGAAATCTAGTGAGGACCAGATTTTGAAGCACTGTAGTCAACATGAGGTATGGATGCGGATATGCGTGTGTGGGTAGGGTGGATGTACGTCAAGTCAAGAGTAATACCCACATACACACTTTGGTTTTCTGACGAAAACTGACTTTTTCTGAGAAGGAGGAGATCTTAAACACGACCGGTTTTGAAGCAAAAATATGATTACGGACCTTTTTTGAGGATGAAGGTCTTCAATATTATCAGGAAGAACTTGAGTCTACGATATGGCTGCAAAAAACTGAAGCAATCAATGGCAATCAATCACAATCTACGCAATTGGACAATCAGCTTTTTCCATCTTGCGTTATTCTTGCTGCGACATAAAACATTGAAACACTTCCAACTTTCTGTTTGTATATAATAAGGTGTGCCGTCAAAAGCATTATCATACTCAGTGTTTCCATAATTAAAAAGCACAAGACAGGCACCCAAAAAAGAAAATGATTTCTTGTTACAGTTTTCTTATAACGTTATTAGTTGATATTACCATTACTGATATAAATGTCAACTCAAGCAAATGATATTCTGGGCACTTACCAACACTGCTGAATGAGAAGCAGGTGTAATCTTTAATGAGAATATCGCTCGATGTTGCCAATCACATAGTGCCAAACATGTGAAGGGTGGTCCAACTGCACAATATTGAACTGATACTGACCAAGATGATGTATTTCAAAAACAGTGGTATTATGCCCGTTCTCGATATTGCGTAAATGATACACTGATCGCTGTCAAGAAAGGTGTTGGTAATGAACTAAATTCAGCAATAATGTGGAAATATAATGAAGGATGTGGAGATTCTGTGCATATTCGTGGTTGGACATACGAATTACGCGGATTTATAGTGTGTGATTGTTATCAGTTTATTTAGTTTGCTGCACTTTCATTCTTTTTTCTATCAAAAGATACTCAGTGCTTCGTATATTGATCAAGACTAAAATGAAGTAAATAGAATTAAACTAAACTGATTCTCACGTGGGATAATGCGAATAGTTAAAACAGCGGCGAATTTTTGCTCATCGCTTTTTTATGTCAGAGGTTTGAAGCTGCTCACGAAGAACTACATAGTTCTCAACATTTCTAGTGTACTATACTACTAGAACATCGTTAACTACTGACAATTAGAAAAAAAAAACTTTTTTATGATATATTTTTTAGCATACAATAAGGAAAAACAAGTGATTTTGTGTTTTATTTTTTAAGCAATAAACTTTTGAGTGAAGCCACGAAAGCTCATTGATTTTACATATACATGTATCATTATGGGCACTTTGAAATTTTGACTTTTGAAACATGTCATCTGTAACTCACTTCCGACGATATAAAAGAATGAAAAGAAAAGAAAAGAAAAGAAAAGAAAAGAAAAGAAAAGAAAAGAAAAGAAACATCAACTTCAAGTAACTCAGTAGTAGTACGTCATTACCCATGAGCAATGTAAAAAAAGTGGAACATGATAATTGTGAACGTAGTTGGTCATGTTTTTGCATTGACTGTCGATTCGATTGTACCGATGTATTCTTAGTTTATTTTGTAAATACGAAAACAACATGAGCAATAATGTTTCAACTACATCAACTACAGATTTATTACTCAAAGAAAAATTATGAAATATTTTCTCGTATTTGTCGTCGCTTGATCTATACGCTAGTTTTTATATACCGAATCGTTGTTTCACATCAATTCTGCATAAAATCGATGTCAAATGTGAAGTCAACAAGGATCACTTGCTAGACCTAAAGCGTGCCTACTTCTGCATCTCTAGAACTATTGATCTTTCGATATGTGACTGTAAACGCATCGATATGACTCGGTTTCCTCCTCTTGAGTGATTAATTCTATGCAACCCTGGTAGAAAACTGGTACACAGGATTCGACCAGAACTCTTCCCACGTCTCAAATATTTGCCTGTCAACGGTGCTGATTGTACCATTATTCAATGATCGACTATACTTCATAACCATGCTTTCTCGAACGATTTTCCGCCTTTAAATAAAGCTTGCCGGTGTGAGTGGGTGTGAATGAAGAGAACACTAGCACGTACACCCATGCACACCCCACATCCACACCCAAAATATAAGAAAATGTAAGAAAGCATATTGTATCTTGAACTATAGATCTGAAGTTCCTCTATTGAAATCAGAGGTCAAAATCAAAATTTCATCTAGATGGCAAGTCATTTTCATGCTTTATTTTGCATGTTTTTCGAAGATGATCAGTAATAAAATGATTTTGTGTTATACATTATCGGGAGAAAATATATCCCGACCTCTCTCATTTCAATAGGTGAAAACTGCATGTCGCTAGCTGTTACTGTTATCGGGTTATTACACTTACAGCAAACCCTCCTTAATTCTGGCGTGGCATTAATCAATCAATTCTGACAGTGATTTTACAGAAAATTCCTGGAACTTAGAAAAATATTCAAGTATTTTACCTCTTAGGTAGACGCGTATCCCCACTTCTTTTCTTTCTAACAAAGAAAACTCAACCTCGATAATTGTTGGCATTGTCAAGTTATTCAGCAAACTACCGAGTCCATTGTATTTTTGGCAATGGACAATTGTACGCATACGTCCTGATATGGCTCTATCTACAAACGACAACTGCAAACATAAAAACATCACAAATCCGATATGCTAATGAAACGTATCCATATCTAACAATAAAGACAAATTAAATTCATGAGACTATTAAATGCATGTGAAACATCTTTTTTTTTCTAATAAAAGAACGAAAACTACCAACTAAACCTACCTTAGCTGCTAACACTCACTTGGCAAACATACTGTCAAAGTCATCTGATGAGTCTCTTAACTGAAACGAAATCGCGATAATTGTTGTTAGACACATGCTACCACAATCACATTAACACTCTATTTAAATGAGTAATTTTGTCTAAGGCGAATCTCTCTGATTTATTAAGTAAATGTTTTTTGAAAAATTGTTATGGAAAAGCGTAGGTGGAAACTATGGACAAAACAGTCGTCAAGTTTATTGTCGGTGAGCCACGATAGCGATTGTCGCGGAAATTTTCATTTGGACATCAACTTTATCAGTTGCAGTTAAAAAGGTTGTTTGAATACTGAACAGGCCGTGTACATTGATGAATTTCTGGGGGCAACAACCAGGACAAAAGTCTCCAAATAATGCAGACAGACATCCGATAGGATCCATATAAAGAGCTGTTCCTGCATCATCCCAATGCTGTAATGTCTTTCAATTGGACAGACATATCGGAGTACATCGGTTCGCAGCAGCAACTGCAAAGATAAGCATATATGCCGTATCTTTGTTGGCGAAACAATGCACGATTGTTGGTAACTGTGATGTAATTAGTTTCACAACATTTACCACAATACATTGTTCCCATGCGTTGATGCAAAACATGTTCATTGTTTAGTAGGTTGAACGTGTTATGCAAATCTGAAGATTGAGGTTGCTTGGAGACAGTGACTGGGTTTGTAGCTCTATAGGGAAGCAAAATTGCTTTTGATCAGCATTGTGTACATAGAAAAGACGAAAAGCTCCGTACTCTACTTCGAAACCCATGAGTGATACTGTGTTACAAAAATGTCTGAGCGAAATAGATTGAGTCCGATGACACAACGAATATGCCTGTATCAATAGGCATGGCTTCGGCTAGGATTTGGATGTTAGTGAGGAAAAGATTTACACCCATACCCGAAACTTCCTTGCAATCCTTGGTTTCCTTGACTTCCTAGTGTTCTTTAAATTTCTAAAATTTCCTGAGCTTTTGAAGTCTTCAAGTCCGTAGAGTGGCGTAATTTTTCAAAGTTTCTTCAGTTTCTATAATCTCAGATTTCCTCGGGTTCTTTAGATATCTTGAATTCATAGAGTCTCGGTGTCTACTTGAGTTTGTTGACTATCTTGGCTACTCCGTGTTCTTACTGGACAACTAATTTTTTTTTCTAATTGAGTTTTGAATTTCGAAATCCTCAAAAGTGCAGAATTCAAGGAATTTAGATAGATCTTCCTAAAGGGGTTCGGTGTAGTCTTATTAAAAGATGTCCTTCTCGTCTTCCAGACGAAGCTAGGAAAAGCAGTCAAGAAATGATGCAACTCATACATATATTTATTTATTTCAACAAGTTCTTGCTGCTAATGCTTGTAAATTGTCTCCTTTCGTCACTCCTTACTGTATCTTTGACTACCACACTGTAGTAATATTATATGAAATGAATTTCCAGTAAGCAAACAAGTGTTGAAATAGCAAAGCAATGTAATAAGTTCCTTCATGATCACATACCAAGTGAAAAAAAAGTATGTTTACATTAGGTGCTTAAAGTACCAGCAGCGATCGCACTGCTTTTACATAGCAACAGTGTATTTTAATCACATTGTATAAGCAAAGAGCCGAGATAGAGAAAAGTTAAGAATTTCATATTCGACGAAATACTATAAGAAAATTCAATGCATGCAACAATTCAATTAATATTTTTTGCGACAGTTATTGTTTACTCTGCGTTTCTTTATGCAGCAGCAACAGCATCAAATGCGAAACGTATTATATACTTCTCTTCAAGGTGTGTCCTTGGTTACTCAGGCGATGAATCTATGGCATGGCATTTAACGTACAAACTATTTTCTCTTCTATACATTAATTATATGTGGACTGGGTGTGGGTGTGACATGAAATAAATTGAACTCTCACACCCACATCCAACCACACCCACACCCTTGACGCGTAAAAAAAGAACATACCTTTTTTGTATGATATTCAACGAAATTAACAAAAGCAAGAAGAATTCAAAAAAAAACATGATTCACTTTTCAACATGACTACTGACTTAACTATAGATAT